ACTTTACAGGGAATAAGGGATATTAGATAAGTTTTACTCCAGTTTTGGTAAAACTATGACATGCGGACATCTTAAAAATGAGGCTAGGTTGTTTTGTGTAACAAGATTTATAAATGACTCCTTCTCTATGCCATGTTAGGACCCACACTTTTTTTCTTTTGAAAGATTTTGAGTTGCAATAACACTGCCATGAAGAAATACTTTCATTGTAGCACTTTATTTTTCCAGATATCCATTGAACATAAAAAATAAGTTCTATTCTCTGTAAACTTATATGGAGAAAATATGTTTTCCCTTATAAGCCATGTCTCATTTTACCAATGGTTTCAAGTAAAAAAGCTGCAGGATATAGAGCGAAAGAGGGCAGTCATCCCAGATTCCCCAAAGCTAATGGGTTAACAAATAAAAGAGGATTAGCTCATTAGATTAATGACGACATTAACTGTAAGAGGATCCAGGAGTACCGTAGAAAATGCACAGGATGAAGCCACAAAGTGACTCAAACATGGAAAGGATTGCTGTATAATTAGAAAAAGCTTGTCGGAGCCAAATAGAGAGCGGTACTTAGCTGTTGAAATGGATGGCGTCTCTTTAAGAGCAGGCTGTTTAAGGTCAGCCCGCGTAACCGTGCGTGTGTGCAACTGTGCGTGTGTCAATCAGCATTTAATTGACAGGAAGATTAAAGCTCACATCTGAGGCCCTCTCTTTCTGCTGAAGCATGCCAAGTTGAAGGAGTCTGGTCTCCAGCGTCTGCCCAAGGTTTGGGGTGCTGCGCTCAAGGTTAGCTGGGGCGCCCCGCTGAGCGTGCACTGTCTGAGATGGGTCCTACTTGTTGGACATTCATTATCAAACTCTGTTTGCTCCTTTCATCTGCAGCTCTCTGCAGCACTCAGCATAAACTACAGAGGCACCTTGCAGCTTGACATCTCTCCATTCAGTCTGTACCTTAAACAGCATGCTGCCACATCAAAGAGCCGTGGCTGCCTTTGATGTTGCAAAAAAGAAAGAGCTCCAATGATCTGCTAAAAACCAATGCAACTTTTTGAAGCCTTGTTTTATTCATTTGCTATCTCTAAAGGTCTGGAGTCAGTTTCTTAAAGTCCACACGACAAGCTCTGATTTTGAAGAAGTTGGACAGCAGCTTTTGCTTTATAATGTGAAATAAGAAAAGTTTAGTAGCACATTATATCCCCGGAGTATAGATTTCTTTTTCCATGAATATCCTATTAAAGGCCACATTTTTTCAGTTTAAAGGGATTACCTCAGAGCTTGAAGAATTAAGTATGTGTGAAATAGCAAAGCAAAAGCAGATTTCTTTGAAATTACTATACAGGAAATTTTATTTCACATTCAAATTCAAAGAGTTATTCATATAGTTTGAATTTTGATTTATATGAAGGTTTGACACCTGATTAATTTTTACACAGGACGTTCAGTTAACGGAGTGGGGAGGGATGAAACATTAGTTTGCTTGGTAGGACATACCTCAGAACACTTGCAAGTGTAAACGCAAAATTTTACCAATCTTACTGGTTAAATAACCAAAACTTTTTTCAGTTGAAAAGCTATTTTGATGGGTATTAAAAATGTAAATGCAGGGAAATCTTAGATGAATGCCTTTTTTCTGTACATGAAGCCCTCATAAACACATCTCAACATTCACATAACATCCAGCACTTCACTATACTGCAATGCTTATTTTAAAATACTATTAAAATGTTAGCCATTATTCACTTAAAGTGCGAAGGAAAACAGCTGCCTAGCACCAAATTTGATTAGCAACTTTCAGTGCCAGCATGAACAGAAAGTAAAGTCTACTATGATGTATCAATGGAATAAACCTTGTCTATTTGGAGTTTAAAATACAAAGCAACTTACCTGAAGAATAACAAAAGAAAAAAGCAACAGCAAAAAGTACTGATCCGTTTCCTCATTTGTCATTTTGGATTATAAAGGGGATGTATTATGCAAAATTCACATTTTGCTATTTTCTGTACTGACATTTGGGTTTATACTGCTTCTAAAAACAGGCCAAGTGCTTAAAAAATAAAACACCCAAGTTGAGCTCCGTCCGTCACTTAGCAACCCAAGTTGAGCCCCAGGACGTTTGGTCAGCTGGATTTTCCACTGCACTGTTCAATGGCTGCTGGAAAAGACAAGAATTTTGTTGTTGACTAACCATTCAGAAAGCACTTGCTTCATTCTTGTTGGTTGTCCAGAAGGCTCTCCTTCTGCTTTTCAAAGATGTACCGCTGTATAATTGCACATCTGTTTGCAGTCATATTCACATGCGAGAGTAAATATTGAGTTGGGAAGGCGTGGCAAGGAGCAATTCTTTTGTATTTAAAGTGGCAAGTGGCCCAAAACAGTTAATTCTGAAAAAAGCTCAAAATAGGCAGGACTGAGCAGACTAAAATCTCATTCTTTAAGAATGATTTTGTGCAAAAAATATTGTGAATATATTTTGTATAGCCCATACACCTATCCTAACTTGTATAAGGAAGCACAGGACACCTTTAAATACAAATTAGGTTTTCTTTTGATCTCTGAGCAGTTATTCAGTCACAAAGTAAAGAGTTTCAACAAATTCATCATATGATTGAATCAGTGAATACAACCCATAGTCCAAAACAGATTTAGAAGTAGCCTGTCTCACCAGTATCAGCATGAGGATTATAGGCTGAATTTAATCCTGTTAATTATAATTTCGTCAGATATAAGCAAGAACCAAGTGGCAGCTCAAAGGAACATTTAATGTAAACGGCCACTGGGTCAGAAACACTGAAACTTAGCACTTTGTCAGCTTATTTCCTAATCGTATGAACTTGACAATAATTGAAGTATTTTATTTCTGCCCTTCTTTCCACACATAAAAGGCAGCCACAGCAATTAGTTTTAATTTTCTCTTTCCCACTCTTCCTTTTCATGTTCTTGAGGAGGCTGGAACCAGCGTATTCTGATCATTTGCATTATCCAAAGCAAATCTGCTTTGAAGTTCTAAGATTCTCTGCAGAAAGGGAGCCACTTATCCAGCATGGAGGGAAATAAGCGTTAAAGGCTCATAAATTCGCTGGAACAGATGTACCTTATCACTGGATTTGCTTTTTTTTTTTTTCTTTCTTCAACCTTTCTCAGTCTATATTGGTAAGAGACTATCTCATATCCCCCTGATCCCTTAACATTTAGCATCCTTCCTTTGCAGAAGCTAGCACCCTGCTGTGCCAATCCACACTTCAAAGCTCTCTGCATATCAGCTGGAAACAAAACAAACAGGACACATTATGGCAGTCTCTCATTTCCCCACATTAAAGTCAATATCCCAGTATTCTTTGTTTGTTTATCATTTTAGTTTTTATGCTTTCATATTTGATAGTGGGGAAGTTCAAATTTAATCCATTATTTAATATAACGCATTGTGTTCCAGCAACACAAACATAACAATTTACATGGGATACAGCAAAAATGTATCCTAATAAGGCCCTCTTATTATAACTGCTGAAGTATGCAAGCTTTTCATAACTTGACATTTGAAAAAGCAAGTTTCCAAAAAACAAAAAAAAACAAAACAAATAATAAGTGGACTAAAAAAACATAAAAGTGACACAAGACAACTATATACCAAATATAATCCACATTATGTTCTGGAATATCTTCTGGACTTGAAGTTATTCTGTTCTCTTCTGACTTTGTTTGGACCAATATCAGTGTAACACATAAAAGTATTATGATACTCACCTTAAAATATCTTAAACCATAACTTTGTAAATACGTAAATGCCTTAAGCGGTGAACTGAAAAAAAAAAAAAAAACCTTTAAGATGTTGACCTGACATTTTACAGAACTGACAGGATCCCCACCTAAAATCCTGGTGCAAGACACCAACAGGTCACCTTCATGGGTCAGGAGTGCTTTCCCCTCAAAGGGGGCAAGAACACATTATTAGCCAGGTGGTTATATTTTATGTCATATGTGAGCTTTTTACCATGAAAAATATGCAGCCATCATTATCTGATATCAAAGTTCCCTTACTGGTAAGGAAGTTGCATCAGAAGCAACTGTTTTAAAAATTAAAAATCAGTAGGAGTTTTTTTTTTTTATCCTGGTAATATAAAGGTAAAAAAAAATGTGTTGGTTCTCCTGTGGTACTCCAGTGATCGCTTAGAAAAGTCGACTTTTCTAAGTCAACTTAGAAAAGTTGACTATAAAGGATTAGAGTCCCTCCACCTTCCAATTGCACAGTGTGTTGATTCATCATGACATCCTAAGTTTGTGTCTGCAGCATTACAAAATGTGAACAAATAAAAGTGTGATTTTTTTTTTTTGCTAAAATGACACACAGATGTGCCTAAAAGAGCAAAAATCAATGCACAAATAAGTTACAGCAACATATTATTTAAAAGCGAGGGTACCCTCAACATCTATTTTTTAGGGCTTCTGGGGACGGGATGAATGTTCCTACTGCCAGCAGGGCAGTAGTCGTGAGATATGAGTTATGTGCTCAGTGGAGACTGCAAGCTGGGCTCCGGGGTTAATCGGCACCAGAGGAATGAGACAGCTGAGAGCGCCATCGCCCAGCCGCATCACAAACAGAGTTCTGTCAGCTGAGCAGTGAGGACACATGGCGGCGCAGCGAAAGACCTGCTGACAGGCGTGGGACAGGCTGATGGGGTGGAAACAGAGGGAGCAGCTAGGAGATCATGGGACATGGCGTCAGGGGGGGATGCCAAAATCCAGCGTGCCAACATTCTGCATGCTGAATGAAAAAAATATGTGAAGACAAAAGAGAATGACACATAAGTCAAACTTTATCTGGACTGATTAAAACATCACCTGCTAACAGAACAAGTTTACAGTAAACGCAGTCCTATTTAAACAAATCTGTGCAACGGGTCTGGAAGACTGGTTCCACATCCAGGCTTTTGGGTTAGAGTAATAGACGTCACTCTGTTACAGTTAGGAGTAAAGGTTAGAGCAGAGAGGAAATTAATGGAAATCTGAGACAGGGTTCAATTACATGTTTTACTGAAGTTCCTAGTGGTCATAATAAAAATGTAGTTTCCACAATGAATACATGAATAAAGCTTATAAAATCGATGACAGTATAAATACCTTATGTACAGCAAATGTTAGTTCATAAATCAGAGGAGGCTTTCTAGTTTTCAGAGCTGCAGTTTGTGACATGATTTATCTTCATTCAACAAAGTTTAAAAGTGATTTTGAAAATGAATGCTTGTTTAACGTTTCCATCAGAACAACAATTCGGATAAAAAACAGAGGTAGAAGCGGATCTGGGATAAATTATATTGTTTCAAAGTTTTCCTTCCTCTTTATGCCTACAGTGTATTACGGGTTATTTTATTTTCTTCAAAACTCTGCTGTGGAGCTTGCTTTAAATTCTGAGCACACTTTCAGTGGTTTCCAACACACACAAGTGTCGTAACGCTCCGATGTGCGCACACCGTCATTCTGTTTTAGACACAAATTTTTCACAAATTGCTCGTCGCCCATTTTCCTTCATATATTTTTGTATTACAGTCACAGCTTCCTCGTCGTGTCCCTCCTCTTCCTTTTGACTTAGTGGTCTGGGGAGTGTTGGGATGCTGGCCTGATGGTCTGCAGGTCAGCGGGTCTGAACTGGATTGCCTCCTGAGCCTTTCTTGTGATTTTCAGTTCAACTACTCAACATTGGCTCTTACTCACTGTCCTACTGCATACCAAAGCTTCTGTATGTCAGACCAACATTTTTGTAGCACTGGTTACTTAACATTCCAGCCTTGGCACACGCTGGCTGTCGCCCTCATGTCCTCCCCATGTCCGGTGCCTGTGCTGCCAGGTGCAGCACTGCAGTCAGAGTCTGCTGGCCTGGTTGTTTTCTGTGGCAATGCAGGGGCGCTGAGTCATCCCAGGCAGGCCAGAGCTTCAGGACTGGTAAAAGTGGTGGTAGTGGTGATGGTGTTCATGGTGGTGGTGATGTTCATGCCGCTGGACCACTTGTGCCAGTCCACCCTCATACAGCAACACACTTGGGAGGTCCCTGACCTGCTCTTTCTCCACTATAGGTCCCGGAGAGCCAAGAGAGCCTAAGGCCCGGTAGCCTTGGCTCTCCTTGGATCGCTGTTTGTACTTGCGGTAGGGGGCTGCTGACTGATGAGGGGGCGTCTGGGAGGGCAGAGCCGGGGGAGGCGGGGCGCCTCTACTCCTCATCACCCTCCCACTGTTCTGTGCAGGCGGTGTGCGGCTGTGAGTCTTCGGAGAGCGAATGCCATGCCGCCCGGCGTCCTGGCCTCTGGGCCGGGCTGAGTGGAGGCTCTCTGCAGCAGGAGTGTCCACAGCCGACTGCAGCCTGCGGTGGTGCGCGTGGGTGTGTCCGTTTTCTGGTTCATGTGAGCGAGAACGGGCCTGGTTGGATGAGCGAGCCTGAGCCTCTACCTTTGCTGGTTCTGCAGCAGGACCTGTCCCAGAGAGAGAGAGAGAGAGAGAGAGAGAGAGAGACGATGATATTATTCTAAACAACTCTCAGCAAAACATTTATTTCTTGACTGAACTGTTTGATGTTGGCAGTCAAAACCTGGGAAAGTAAACTAACAATTATTTCAGTATTCAATTATTCTGATGATTAATTGGGTAACAAATTAGTACATTATGCAGATTTTTCATTTAATCACTTCACCCTTTGTATGCAACATTAACAAAACATTATAAAATGCAAATAAACAATTAAATTCCTTTTGAGAAAATATTATTTTATATAATGCCATAACATAGCAGATCCTTTAGCTTTTTGATCATTTGTAGCTAAAAAAAATACTTGTAACATCAACATGTGAAAAGTTCACCGCTTTCTGTTTGACTTAACATCAATTTTGTATTAGCAAATACTGAAATAATTTGCTGACTGAATTTGTACTTTTAATATAACTACAAAGCTTTCAGTGACCTTAAAACCAAAACTGTAAATGCATCACTGTTCATGCTGTTGATTTTTAGGTTTATAGATCAAAACTAGTGAGAGTTCTTCACTTATCTCTATACACTTACAGTAAACTAAGTTAACTCTTCATAATAACATTGTCATGATCCGTGTTTCTGTGTATTTATTTTAAGGTTTTTCTGTGTTCAGTTTCTGTCCTGAGTCTCTGTTTCTGCGTCTTCCCCGTTGATTGTTTCCCAGGTGTGTCTCATTCCTTGATTACCCTCCCTGTGTATTTAGTCCCACCTGTTGTCTCTGTCTCTTGTCGGATCCTCGTCGTACGTCGAATGTCGTTTGTCTGCCTGCCATCACAGTTGAACTGTAAAGCCCTGTGTTGGTTTAGCTCTCTTATTCAGTCCTCTGTCTTTCAGTTGCTACCAGTAATTAGCTGTGTGCTAACTCTCTACCGTGCCGCCTGTGTTGGACTGTGCTTGAGCTCTCTTTATTAAATCATCATCATCATCTGGGTCTCAGCGTTCGCTCTCACTGCCACAAACCACAACTCTTGACAAACATATCGTCAACACAAACTTGCAGATACATTTCAGATTATTTTGAGACATTGACTTTGCGGCAATTCCTTCTCCACAAGCATGTAGTGACCGTGTACAGTTGATTGCATTCACTCCCAGACAAAATGACGACATTCTGTTTTGATTTGAGACTTTTTGCAGATTGTTGTTCTAAGCAGAACCTTTTTTTTTGCCTGGTGTTCAAATATGAAGGTCTTGTGATGTAAAAACACTTTGTGGGAGTTCTGCACTTTACTTTTTGTGAAGTATGAAATGTCCTTGCTAGCCCTTAACAGTAGCTACAAACCTTGGTTTAATTTTTTTTATCACAATTTCCTAGAATACTTCCTAGAATAATAAAAGTATCAGAACTCTCCTTAGATTCCTAAAAGACCATAAAACTATTGATAGATGTTAGATGCTTCATCAGTTTAATAATTACTTGTTCAGTTTCATAATCACAAAGCTTCCTCTCTCAGCAGTAATTAAAAGAGAAAAACCCCCAGAGGTATTAGTTTGATTAATTTTAAATTAAGTTGCTTCTCAAATATTTTTCTTAAGATCTTTGGTTTAAAAAAAGAGTTGTCTGAATTTCCAGATATCTATGCCTTATCATCACAGTCTGCCAAAGTCGCAGATGTTAGAAATTTAGCTGTGTCCTTAGTGTTAACCTGGACTTTTTGTGTAATTCTTCTCACAGACAAACAAACAGGCATTGCCTCTGGAAACACACTGACTCTACATTAACACAAAATAGGTAGATACAAATTAGGTGTGTAAAGCTCAACGCAAAAACTCTCCAATCTTATTTCAGGATCTTTCCCTTTTGAGATCCCAGACACAGAGGATTCCTGTTAGCACTTTTCCTACAACACAATAATGGCATGTCATCACTGACTGGCAGATCAAGGCTGAAACTGTTTCAACTTTAAAAATTTCCCCTCACACCACCCCGTCCTGTTGATGGACTTTCCCCTCAAACACTCGCTGTATTGTGCTTGCCTGAACCCAGATGTTTGTGCTGGCGAGGTGCGCAGAAGGCTGGTCGTCCCACCTAATGGCCCTAAGCAGGTGCGGCAGTAATGACGGGCTTCAAAGAGCCATGGTCTGCCTCCCGTCCTCCCCACCCGTCTTTGCCCCGGTCCACTCACCAGCTCCAAAGCGGGATGTGTAGTTTTCAATGCCTGCAAGGTCCAAGTAGTGGTTCCTGCGTTCCAGGTTCTCGTCCACACAGTGGCGCTGGCAGCCAGACTGGGTGTGGTGGTCGCTGTGGTGGCGTCTGTGGAAATGAGTGGCACCTCTCATTAGGAAGCAGTTTGGGGAAGATAAACAAGCGTTGCTTGTGATCAGGCAGAGACGGGACAACTGTTACAGAGCTGGAACTGTTACATCTCAAGTCGCTGAATGTGGACAGATGAAAAACAACAGAGGTTTTGTTGTGCCAAACAAATGATTGAAGGTTAGAACCTCTTAAAAAACAAAACAGGACATTTATATCTCCAGAAAGAAAAGGATGTACAGGTACTTCATAATAAATAAGAATATAACTTAAAAGTATTTTCACAATTCAAATCAATTATTTAGATTAATTACAGATAAAGTGATATAAGCATAATAAGTTCTATTTTTGTGTGTTTTTATGTGATGGCAATGCAATGGCCTCCACAGTCGTACCGCTGTAACTGGAACTTTTCATGAGCATTATAAATGACAAAACATCTCTCTCTCAAGCACAATAACATGAAATTTGGTAGAAGGAAAAGTGTGGCAAAAACAAATGTGAATCAGCAGGATGGATAACTACACATTAGAGAAGACTGTTAAGTAGTTCTCACTTAAGAGTTTGGGGTACAGGTGCATCAATTTATCGGTCATCCGATTTATCTGTGCCGATTTCCTTAATTTTGGGAAATCCATGATTGACCGATTTTTACATATGAAGCCGATCATGTCCACCAATCTTAGCTACCTCGGCAAAGGTCTAAAAAAGTTTAGGCTTTATAAAATCAGTGAACCCCTAGTTTGGGGGAACTTAGCATATTGGTGACATCAGCTACAGCTGTAACATCACTAGTTAAATCACTCATAAAACACATGCAACATCAGAAGTGTCTTTAGTTTGCTAAAAAGAAAAGTGTTCAGTGTTTTAAAATCACATTTTCTATTTACGGTAAATACAGCATTTGATTTGGACACAAAGCTCCCAAACTCTGAAACAAAAGTGGAGAGCAACAGAATCCAAGGGGCTTGAAGTCCAGGATGAAGTTTCCATAGATAATCTGAGATAGAGGTTTTATTGAATCTGTTTTAATGTTTTGTATCACTGCCCAGTGCGGCAAGTCATCTCTGGCCAATAAACCAGACTTTGGACCCAGGTTAAAGTGGCTGGTAAAGTTCCAGAGAGGAGTCAAATTCAGCTTGTGGACTTTAATAACAAGCTGCTGCCGTGGAAGGCAACCTCTGTCATCGTCTCCTTAAAAACTTACAACTTCTTCCTCAGTTCAATGTCATAAATGATCTTCAGTAAAAACCAAGAGTAACAGACTTTCTTTTTGTACCTGCTCCTTTTGTTATGCTTAGTCGGACTTGACAGGATTTACAGAATTTTATGGACTGCAGATTTATTTTCCATGAAGGATAAAGAAATCCAAACTGATCCCTCTTCTGACAAGCTTTAATGAAATGCTAAGTTCATCTTCCAGGATGACTTGCCACTTCATCGCACTGACAGAAGTGTATAAATATTTCAGTGGTGGTATTTTTATTGTTAATCCTTTTTGACAGGTCTTATACAATTAGTCAAGTATCTTCTCTTAATTTGTTTCATGTTGTTTTGAAAGATTAAGCCATCAACATTAAAACAAATAAATGCTTAATGTATAAATGTGCATTGTATCCAAGCACATTAACAAAAAGTTGAGTGGAAGGAAAAAGTGTACATAAACACCCCAGGAATGCTACTGGTCAGTTACCTAAATGCACTGGTGGAGTAATCACTGCAAAAGGATCACTGACCAAGTATTGAGTCAATTTAATATATACTGTATTACTACTCAGTAGGTCAATAGTTCTGCACTTTTTATAAAATATTTTTAATTGACCTAATGCAATGTTTAAATATCTGATAAACTAAATGTTGTGTTTCATTAGATGCAAACCATCTAATGTATTTCAACTAAATTGTTGAAATACATTAACCTTTTGATGAAACTTGGATTTACAAGGATGCAGATGTAAGGTTTCTATATTGTAGAGATACCAGAAGCTCCAGAACGTGAGTTTACAGGGAGCTGGGCTTACCTAAGGAGCGCTCGAGACTTCTTGTCTGCACTCTTGAGATCATCGATGCACTTGTCATTTTTCTCCCTGGAGTGGGACACGTCTGAGAATGCACAAAGACACAGGGGGCTATTACCAAAGGGAGCAATGCAGAGAAGCCACACACACCCCCACACAACACCAGGCACACAAGACTCGGAAGAAAGCAACCTTTGTTTTAGGGTTTCACTTTGAAGATCTATAGATAAGGAAAAACAACAGTGCTTCATTTATTCTATTTTCAACTCCCAGCCTCTTATAAGGAGCAGAATACCATAAAAACCAGGCTGGTTTCAGCAATAGTATTATTAGGATGTGGGATCTGATGCGATTTGAAATTAGCATGAAGGCAATCTTTTCAAAGCTTCCTCCATCTGAATCTCCTGACAGATATTTATAGACAAAACAATAGGACGCAAACACTCAGGAATATATACTTTTTGAGATATTTTCCTCTGACTACTTGTTTGCCAAGTCGTCAGTGAGGAAAGTTACGTCGAACGCTGCTATATTTTCCCCACAGCTCTGAGAAAGGAGGACAAAGAGAGGGGGAGAAAAGGGGTAAAAAGGGGAGTACTGGAAAAAAGAAAAATGGCTGTGGTTATCAAAAGGACTTGGCACATCTCTTAAGGTTTCTTTTAGGGTATTTGAAGGCGGCAAGGGAGGGGAGGGGGCGCTCTCTCTCTCTTTCTCTCTCTCTCTACGCAGTCACCCCCCATCATTAAAAATGAACCCCATTGAGTGGGAGGGATGGAGCGATGCAGAAACTGCAAGGAAACAAAGCTCTGACAGGCCTGAAGCGACCGCCTTTCTGCATGACAACAAACAAGTCTCTGAGTGAGCTGTCAGCACAGATCCACTGATGGAACTTCAGAGTCGCCTCTTTTCTCAGCAGCTGCCCCACACTGAGTTAACGTGGCACTTACCTGTGGCACCCTGAGCACAGCTCCTCCACCGCTGGCTTGAGTCTGGAGCGACGGAGAGCTTGACCCGCAGAGTCTTGCTTTTGCCAGGAGAGTGGTTGACCGAGGCGTCCACCACCTCGTAGATGGTGTGGAGCAGGCTGGTGATGTCCTGTAGGGAAGAACAGGGGCTAAATCTGAGAGGGCCCTGGAAAAATGTGAAACTTTTCACAAACCTCGATGGACGTTATTGGAAATTTTTTATAATATACAACCACAAAGTACAGCATAATTGTAAAGAGGAAGAAAACAACACCTAATTCTCAAAATTATTTTACAAATAAAAACCTGAAAAACTTGGCATATATTTTTACTCTTATATGTATGTATGCCCTCTATTGTTGTGAATTATGCAAGTGAACCTGGAACAACTGGGGTTAAACTAGAAACAGAAATGTTTATAACTATCTTTCTGACATTATCTGTATAACCCATATTTTTTAGAAAGCGGAACTGTTGGTTTTTCTGTCGACAGAGCTGTGGACAGAGTTACCACTTGTCTCTCGACTTCTCCTTTCCTGGTCTACACATTGTTGTGGGTGGTCATGTTTCACTAGGCTTGCAGTTGTAACATAAGCTTTCCATTTGCACATAATGCATTGAACAGCTCCCTGAAATGTTTAAACTGCACAAAGTTGTTTCAAGCATTTGTTTGCACTGGATGGCTTTCATGGGCAGATCTGAGTGCACTTGCACACCGCACAATTCAGATCTTCGTTTAGGAAACTCAGAAAACCACGTATAATTTGCTTCCACCTCACACTTGTGCTGATCAGTCTCAGTCTAACACGTGACAAACACTTTGAAAAAAAAAAAAAGAAGTCTCAATACTTTTGTATGGAAATATATATGTTTGTGTTAATTATTTTCAAGTAATGCTTTTTGTATCAAGTAATGCTCACATGCTGAAAATCATGAAAGATAAGAAAAGAGTGAAAAAGTTCAATGTTTCAGTGTTTTTTTTAAATTATCTGAAATTTTAATCCACAAAAGCAAAGGACATTAAATGTCTTTTGGTATGGATTTTACAAATACTTTCAGAACACACAAAAAAATTAAACAGTAAAATAAATGCTTCCTGTGTTTCTCATTTTACTTTTTTCTTCAGTGAAGTGACTAATAAAAGCATCATAGTGGAAGAGAAAGCTTTTTCTCCCTCACCAAGTCACTGTCTGCCGTCTCAGGAGCCACAGAGCCACAGGCAGCGCCAAAAAACTGCACAACCAGCCTCACAGAGGAGTGCTGCAGTCTCTCTTCACCGATTCAAGTTGTTCTAAAAAAAAAAATGCTTTTCTGGATGTTTTCTCAGATCTCCATCCGGCAGATGCAGGCCACATTGAGCAGCACCTTCGCTGAATTTAGCTACAGGAGAGTGAACGCCACTTTCTTCTGGCTTTGTTTTATTTGGGGGTGGTTAAGTGTTAATGTTAATGGATGTCTTTATTCTCCAAGATGAGGTTGAATATTGATATTTTTAATTAAATAAAAAAATGCTTCTGTAATGCAGAGGTTGAAACCTAAAACTGAATGCTGGTAAACATTTGGGTGGACTTCCTGTCCCTTTAAAGAGCTACAATCAGCTGTTTTAAGTAAATATTACCTCTCGTGTAACTTTGCCGTTGTTGTCAAAATCATAGAGGGTAAAGGTCCACTCCTGTCTGTTGTCCTCCTCCACAGACACAGCACACTCCAGCTCCTGAAACAGTTTCATAAAGTGCGCATGTGAGTGCACGTCCTGCCACTGCCCCAGTTTTACCCGCAGGGGGAAGTGATAAACCTCCCGCTCTGCGTTGACACTCACTTCAAACTGGAGCTGTTTCTGTGGCCCCGCGGGAGACCGGCTGTCCCTCTTCTGCATCTTCTCCTCCACGCAGCAGCTGTCTGTCTTCTCCGGGGGTAGAGCCACTGCGGCAACACACACAAACGCACACAGCAGTGAGCGCCCGGGCACAAAGATAAAAGGCAGAGCCTGAGGACAGAAACGGTGGGTGCAGTCTTAACCTGAGGACATGTCGTCCCTTTCTAGTTTTACTTGTAAGCTCACGCTTCCACGTTTGGCAGCTGAAATTAAGATGCGGAACATCTTAAAGCCTGCCTTAGAGCAAAAATGTACAACACAAATCTGACTTTTTTCTCCAACTTTTTTATTAATAGTGTGTTTAATAAGCGGAATCGCTGTTCGGGGACTTTTGCATTACTAAACAACTAAATCAGAGGTCATTACTTTGGCTTTGCTGGGATGCTCAGATCCACAAAACTTGTAGTTATTTACAGTATTCATGATCCCGATCAAAGGCTGCAGGAAATCAAAGCACAGTTTGGCTTTCACAGTTCAAAAATAGTTTTCATGTCAGCAATCAGAGAAAAACAGATCTGAGACAGAGTGTGGTCAATCTGAAACACTTTTAAAGATTCAAAAAATGTGATGCCTGAAACTCCCTTCAGGTGCCTCTACCAGCACTGAATTCACGTTTATGCTTCCAGAGTAAATTAAATAACTTACAATATAATGAATGCATCAACAAATATGACTCAATAATTTATATTAGTTATAACCTAAAAGAGATAGAGGTAAATACTTTGCAGTGATTACAAATTTTCCAGTTTCAGGCAGAATTTACAACATTTCTATTTTAAATGCCTTGGTAATTCAATGACCTGGTGGTGTCATAAACTAACAGCCTTAAAAAGCATAAGACACACAAGCCCTCATCATCACCATCCTCCATCATACCTAACAATGAGCATGAGATGTTTTTCCCATATATCCATTCTTTGTTTTATGACAGACCTAAATGTTTGTTGCCTTCCAGTGAAGTTAAGCAAACAGAATAAACAAAGAAACAAGAGCGACAGCAAATGACCCTGACAAACTCAGTCCAGTGTAGCTGGTGCCAATTACTACCATGGTGGAGGTGTCACTGGAAACCAGTATTGAAGGATGGCAGACCCAGAGTCATAAAACACTGATTAGATGGTCACATTACACACAGCATTATTGAGTTAAAGATTTGAACAGTATGTCAGGAAAGAACCCAGAATCTTAGCATATGTGTCTCTCTGATTCCTAATAGAACAACAAATCCTTTGGAGACTCAGTAAAGGTACTGTCTGAAATAAAGTCAAAATAACAATGAATTACATGAATGGGGAGTTAATAATCCAATCTATGAATTTGTGCAATCCTTGTTTTTCTTCATTACAAGGGATTGATTTAAAATGTCCAAAATGACAGATCACACTGGCATGCTATTGGATAATTCAATGTCACACGGATGCCTGTTTATCATGCTGGATCAAAATATTACAAGGATTCCTATATTTCAAGGGTCTTATCATGGTTGGAGTTTGGGTCAGAGCTAAAGGGGGGCATTAGCTGTCTCTTGTATGTGGGTTTCTTCACAAGTCCACATAAGTTACAGTTAAGCAGGAATTTTCATGCTCAATCCTTGCAGATTTCTGTAGGTTTGTCTCAGTCATGGCTGCTTTATCAGCTCCGTTTAACATGGATTAAAAACCTATGCAGTACGTTCACAGTAAACAGAGGCAGCACACACCCATTAAGTCACACAGACCACGCCCTTCTCCCCCATCCTCTCATCCTGCCGCACTTTGAAGTTCCATTCTCAAACCTTTTGGAAGAGGATCAGACCAGCTGTAAAACAGAATCATTAATTAATTAAGCCAAGTCAAATTTGAAACGCTGTTTGTTTGTTCGCCAATAGAGCAGACACAACAGACCAATTTCTTTCCTCCTGATCCAACGAAGATCAAAGCGGACCTGGGCGGGGGAGAATGCCAGAAATGAAAGGCTTCATCCCAGGGAGCTTTTACCAACTTTTTGAAGAGGAGCAACACTTGGGGTCCTGCTGTCTGATCGTTTGAGGTGCTCAAAGGGAACATTGTGTGCAGGGGTAAATATGTTCAGTAGCAGACTCAATATGGCGAGGAGATACTTATCTTGGAGCTAATGAAATTCCGGGCGGAGTAACAGTAATCTGCTATCACCCTCCTTCCTCGCTGACCCCTTCCCCGTCACAGACAGAAACCGGCTCCCTACAAGTGAAACTGCAGCCAAGGAATTGGCCACACATCAGATCCGAGGGGCGAGACGAAAACAGCAGAGGCTGGCACCCGCCGCGCTTTCTACACACGTGCAGGATTATTTTTCACACGCATGCAAACCATGGCAGGTTGGGAGAGCTGCCACGTACTATGAGGAGTCGGCTGATCTGAAATGCCGTGTTAGACATAACTGGGTCTCATAAACACTGACAGCGGTAAATTACTACGAAACTCTCCAGCATTTGAAGAACTTCTTTCAAAATATAACTTTTATTTCAATCACTGAGGTTCTTCAAAGGCTGTTTGTGCGTTTGCATATGAATCCAGGTAGTAATTTTGCAACATATCCTTTGGGTTCTTTCATCTCAGATTTCATCTCATTTCCTTTGCAATTTTAGTAGAAAAGTTCTCTTTTAATCCCCCCAAAAAACTTTCTCCGGATGTACTTCTTTCTGCCTTAAAGAAAGAAGTCTTTCATCTCCCCTCAATGTTCTTTTGTGCTGGCTGTCTGTATTTCCTCCTTAGTTGTTTTTTTAATTTGCTCTACTTTTTATTATCACTGAGTTATCTGTAAACCATGCAGGAGTTCTTCATAGTTCCCTGTATGTGTTAACTAGTATTTGTTATGTAAGAAGTCAATAGAGGTTAAAGGCTGGTTACAGGCATCAAGGTGTAGTAGATTGATTGACTGAGACTTTTAGAAAGACAGGAAAGTTCCCAGATTCTCACTTTGCCTGTTAATCTCATGGGATGAATAGAGCAGTGTAGACTAATTAGCAACATCTGTCTTCAGGGGAGGACAGCTTTTACCAAGACACATTATCTCTCCTCTTTCTGGTACAACCCAGGGAAGCTGAACTAAAACAAAGGTAAAATTTATTTAACTTTTCTTCCAAATTCTGGGCCTGTCTCGTTAAATGGTAGATATCAGCCTGCACCTCACGTCCAGCACTGTCTTTAAATGGGAGGGAGACTTTCTCCTCCCAGAGCACTTAATCCAGGATCACATCAGAGAAAAAGATGGAGGAACTGAAGCACTCTGCCTACAGCAGCTGAAGAGTGGCAGATAAGAAGTGAAGGGGGCCTTTGGGAAGAAGGCAACATGAGAGTTTAAAAGGGGACATTAAAGTAAGTTAAGGTAATTTTATTTATATAGCACATTTTCAGCAACAAGGCAATTCAAAGTGCTTCATTAGAGAGTGGATGGGGAAAACGGATGACAGACTAATTAAACTTAATCAACAACAGAACTGAATAAAACTGAATTAAAGTGGAAATTGATACAATGTTAAGATTTGTATTATTATCGGTACTTGCTCATTTGTTTATTAACTTGCTCTATTTTTAGTTTGCTTTCAGGAGAGAAAAGGGGAGAAAACGTTTGCTTTGGTGAAATATTATATTGATGTTTGCTTTGCTGTAATTTGCTAACTAAAAACTAATGAACATATCTAATTAAAAGTGTAAACTGAAGCGAAACCAACTAAATGGGTTGGTGTTTTACATGAGAATCAGGCTTACCTTCTAAACGATAGTGTTCATCAATGATCCCCTCACCACACGGATCAACCAATGAGTCCTACAGAGACAGAATAAAAACAAGACATACAAAATCACTGTTTTGCACTCATGTAAAAGAAGTCATTACATTTATGTCAAACAAAGAGCAAAGAGCAGCCTTCTCAAAAAGTTGCCCTTACATCACCAACAAAACACCAGCATTTAAATTACAGCTTTTGCATATTTATATATGAACAAAGTTTGACAACTGCAAGCTGAGCTTAAACAGCAGTGGAAAGTTTAAAGGCACAGTAATTGCAGGACTCCAGCAAAATGAGCACGAGATTGGCAGTTAGATTTCAGATGACGAAACAAGCATCTAAATCACCGTCTCTGACTGTACTGGACTCTGAGCGAGAGGTCCGGTAGTAGAGCTATTTCTGTGGGTCACTATCATAATCGAGGGATATGTCCAGGCGGGTTGTTTTTATCCTTACTTGGGACACCATGCCTGTTGGTGCATACCACAGAGACCGGAGGGACATGTGATCCACAGGCTTAGCTGTGGAAAATATCTGGCTCCGGTATCCGTGTGGTGCTACAGTCATTTGGCTGGAAAACCATTACTCACATACTGACAACCACAAAACATTCACACGCAGGCAAAGATCTACCAGCAACATTTCTAATGTAAACAATCGGTCTGCTAGTCCTAGAGTCAGATTGCTGGTTAAACAACGTGCCTAAGCATGTATTTGCAATACGTCCATGCATTAAACACAATTTGCTGCAAATAAAGCATTTTGCACACAAAACATTGAATTTCTGCCCATTCTTCTTTGCAAAGCAGCTCAGATTGGATTCCAATGCTAAACTTATATCATAGATCAAGGATCCTGGTAGCATGATGCTGCCACCATGGCTTGTTTAGGCTGATCTGAAGTATTACTTTTCCAGCACACAATTGTTGAATGCAGGCCAAATACAAAGGAGACTGCTTATTTAACACATAAAATCCCCCCAAAATACTTTTAAAATTCTTGTTGTTAGATAAGGCAACATGTAGAAGTTCAAGAGGCTTACATACTTTTTACAAGATTGTGTAAATGCTGCATCTGAATATAAAAAAATAAGACATTTATTCCCTAATCAACAAACACTGTATCCATTTGCATGCAGGTATTTAAAACAGTGATGTAAATAAAAAATAATTCAAGTTCTAACAAGGTACCACAATAATAATAAATAAAAGAGATTCCTTGTAGGTTTATCTGCATGTTTTTATGTTTATCAAAACATAAACACAAAATAGTTATAAAAATAGTTGATAACAATCAAAATTAAATACTCATTGAAAAATTATAATTATTAACACATTAATAATAAAAACAGGTTTCTACCACTAGCTTTGTGATCTCTAACTATGTTAATGGTGTCCTTGAATGCCTATTTAAGTTCAAAGCCAATGTGGTCATCGTATAAATGCTGGTTTATGTGTCAGAGTGTGAGATCCAGAAAGGAAGGAGGTCAGATATTACTATTATAACCTTCTGGGTTTGATGGTGGCCACAGTGCAGCACTGTGGGTGGCCTCAGTCAGAGAACAGTGCTGAATGAAGACATAAAGGCTGATGCACCAAAACAAGCAGCTGGGATGTTGTATTTCCTGTTTGTGATGTCAAGTCAAGATTTTTATGACCCTATCTAGATTTTAGCACAGAACTGACCTAAATATAAGTGGTGAATAGTAGATAAAAAAATACTTTTACTATTTCTTTATAAATACTGTTTATCATTATAATTTCAGCAATGCTTAATGTTTATCTGCTTCAGTTTGAAAGGCAAATATAGATGCAGATAGAATAGATTGCCTTGCTTTGAATTTGGTTTAACTTATAGAAGTTTTAGCCTCAGTGCTGTGTGTGTCTGTCTGGAATTTGTTTAATTAACAATACTTTTTTTATTCACTCTAATATTTGCACAAAATCATTTTGTAAAGCAAATCTCCAGCGTCACAAAACCCCTCAGTCTCTGATGGGAACCGTGAACCACGCCAAGCCTGCTAACTACCTAAATCATTCAATTAGCTTTCTAAACTTTGGCATACTGGATAACCAGTGTTGACTTTCACAATCACCCAATTCAACAGAAATAATCACATCAGGTTGCCTGGCATCAAAAGTATATATTAGGAATCAACTAATATAGGGGAACATGTAAAACTTGCATGGCAGCTCTGATTGAAAATTCACAAAGAAAAAACACCAAAGAAATTCCCATCTTCAAATTGATTTTTGTGTTTTTAGAGAAAAGGTTTTGAGAGGTTGGACATTGTCATGAGAAAAAGGGACAAGATGAATGTACTAACTGGTTTTTGTCAGTGTTGATGGATGAGAGTTTTATTGTTAGTAAACTGGGGTTACGTCGGGATTTACTTTGGTCATTATACAAATACAAATGTCATTAATTTAAAAAATTATAGGTCAGGATATCACTTGATAGGCATACTTCAAGTGTTTCAAGCTTTTGCAGAGGTTTACCAGAAAAGCACAACAGACCAGACCGCACAAAAATAAGCCATGATTATTTTTAATATTCCTGCTCTTACTGTAAAACAAGAAACAAATATGACTTGTAACAAATTAACTCAATTTTTTAAAGATAGGTTTGTCCTCCAAAATCTCACATTTCTTGAAAACTATACAGAACAAAGGTATGAAAAGTCCAGTTTAAAAATGAATAAGAGCACTGATCAGCTCTTATACTGTGAAACATTGTGGGAATGGTTTGGACCAAATAATAATTCCGTGTTATAATAGCCGAGAAAAATGCTTGAAATGGTTGAAAATCTCTGGCAACACTTGAAATGTAGCTACCAATTCACAATTCAGTCACATGGGAGACATCAATCTACTTCGGAAAGAGTAAAGAGGTAGTGACACACTCCTGTAGGACCCTTGAAAAGTCAGAGGTCACAGAAGTAGTTTCAGTGCCCTGAAAACCCAAACCTCAAAATGTAATAGTACAACACCCGCGTTTTTCTAACACTGGTTAGAAAAACTGAATTTTCTAAGATTTGTTGTCCATTTCTTTCTGCTTTTTGTTTCAACTTAATAAATCTATCCATGAGACCTCCAGCAATGAGTCACTTTGGTCAGAGGTGCAGGGTTGGTTCAGGACACAAACTAACAAATTTCACTACCCATGAGACCAGCTAAAATAATTTTCCAGACATGGCGTTTAATGGCCTGTGGAAAGCAGAGCGTGAAGCCTTTTGCTTTCAATAGCAGCCAGATTCTTCAGAGCTTCTTTTGGGACTCATAAGAAGGAAATGCCCCTGAGTGTTTTAAAGTAGCTAAATTCCTTTCAAAGGAAGTGATTTATTGCTGGACCTCTTCACTGAATATAGAGCATCAGTGTCATTCACAGGCCATGATCTATTGTTGTTGTTAGGGCTGAAAACATGTTTGCTTTGCTGTCTAGAGCTATAATTAATCAATAACCCACTTCATGGTTACGGTTAAGCCAGATGAGTAAATTTTGCAGTCATAACACTGACTGAATTAAAGTCATTGATGGAGTCATTCCTTTCTCCTACAGTAATATCAGTCACAACAAAGTCAAATCATGAATCATTTTTATCAATGAGAAGCTGGTAAGAATCCAGAAGTAGAATCCATCAAAACATTTCTGATAATAACTGAATTTCAAACCTTGGGCTTTCATTTTTAAATCTAGAACAATTTTCCACCACTTTTCAGTACCAGATAGATACTTTATTAGAAAGTCATGAGATTGAGATGTTATCTGTTGTGAGAAGCAACAACAAAACAAACAGCAGCATCAAAAAAATCCTGACTTCGCCTGACTGAAGCAGTAATCATAAAACATGATATAACTCAGAGTTTGATAAAGTTTGACAGATTTACAAAAACAAACTTCCCGATAAAATAGCTAAAGATTGGCATAATATTAAAACACGTATCTCTTTAACCACAGCGAGCAATAAAACACTGCCTTTTTTAATCGAAACAAATTAGTTGAGTGCAAAATTTAACTGGTTTTCTCCAAGTGAGACTTTGACCCCTCATCAAATTATAAGAATGACTAACAGTCACATGGTGGAATACAATAATATTTGAACTTAGGTTCAAAGTTTTCAGTTTTCTTTTAAAATAATTTCAAGGCATTTTCAGGTTATACTGCAGTGCTCACTTTATATAAAGACATCGCAACATAATACAGAGAAATCATTACTAATGAATATGTTAAAAAAATATTTACCATATTTCACTACGGATTCTATTTTTATGTAGACTTAAGAGAACATATGATAGCATACATTTTTCACAAAATCTTAACCCTTTTTTGCATCAAAAGTGTTTAAAATATTCAAAAATATGCACTTCAAGCTGTTGGTAAAAAACAGCATACTCTTGAGTTTGTAAAGATAAATCAGAAAAACTATCTGCTGAGTTCATCCAGAACAAAAACAAGTGAGCGGGACAGCTCTGTTTAAAAGAGAAGCTGCACTTAGTATGGACCAAGAGTAAAACAGAAAGTGAGCCAGACAGCAAGCACATGCTGGGAGGAAACAGACTTGGTGAGTTTGGACACAAAGTTGCTTCTAGCGTCTTTCTTGCTCTGCCTTACTTGTGTCGGCAGACACGGTTCCAGTGGGCCAAGTTTTTTCTCTGAGGCTGTCACTGAAGCAAAAGGGTACATTAAAGTGCAAGTAATAAGTACTTGTGTGTGATTGTGGGAAAGTCCCACAAGGCCTCTCAGTCTCTATGCCGTCTGCCTCCATGACCCACCACACAGTCTGACAATTTATGCGGCCGACGACAGCTCCCCCTGATCGCTCGCCAGGGCTCAGTGGAGGCAGGCCTCCGGAGCAATGGCAGCACTACTGGCACTCCATCAAAAACCCAGGAAAAATCTCATTAAGGCTGCAGCCTGGTGCCTCCTGCCCTGCTCTCCACCCGGTGGAGGAATACACCTTTGGGATTC